AGTCTATAAACGATATCGGTGCACAATATTGGCTGGTGCTCATAAATGTTGCACCATTTTGCATTGAAAATTAGAGACAACATTGTATGCACATAATAATGCCGTGCATTACAACAATGTTGTTTGATATCGAAACTTAATTTTCCACTTATTATTATATTATTATTGGATTATCCCATTTTCAGAATAAGCGAATTAACCATAAATTGAGAAATGCTTGCCGTAACCATACGACGATGTGGCTTATAAATTGTAATCACGAAGTTCAAGTATCTGATGAGTACCGGCGATAGCTGCAAGTGATAGTTTGAGTCATATCACTTCGTGGAAGATGTTGATTATCGCACTGTGCATTGATTTAATCGTTGCGTGTTGTATTGGCGAAAATACAACCAAAAACTAACCAACTCCAATGAAATGTGTGGCTGACCATGAAAAAAAAATTGTGTAAATTTAGTGAAATGTTCTTGAATATAATACACACATATAAATATACAAAAACAGTATCGATTCCACGAATTTGAATGCGCATAAAAAGCGTGAAACACGAAAACAGGCAATTTAAAGATAGGTCTTTTGCAGTTTTCGTCAACAAACACAATAATTTATCGATAAACATCATTTTTACTACTTTGCATGCAATGCAAAAATCTATTTACTGTCCCGCCGCTAAGGAAGCAAAGAGAGAAACAGACGACAACATAAGGTAAAGCAGTTTAGTTTGGTTTTTGTCATGCATTCAACGCAGTATTTGTCTATGGCGCGAGAGAAAAAAAAGAATCGTAAATTTGTAATCGGCTTTACCTATATGCTAAAATATGCGCTCGACAATCAAGCAGAGACATATACCGAGAGAGAGAGAGAGAGAGATGCGGCTGCAACTGTTGCTTTTAGATTGCCAATGAAACTGTGAACATTTTTTGCAATCAACAACTATTTTACAATTTACGATCAACTCTCAATAAATAGACTCTCGGTTAGTATTCACGAACACACTTCAATGGAGAGTCTCTATACGCGCGTACCGTGCTAACCACGCCACATACATACAATTTATTGGGAAAAAGTGTGACTGCGACTGAGTTGATAATAGCCTGGTAGCATTATTGATGAATAAAATTAAAATCTAACATATTGCTTACATTGCATTCCAAAAAAAGAATGTATCATAAGTCAGTGAAATCGCCCGAGATCATAATTTCTTGCTCGTGTTTCATATTTTCATTGCCGTCTTACCAATTTGCATGCAAACATTTATTTTCGGCTTAAAAATTTAATCAGAATTTCAAACATTTTTTTTTTATTCTCCCGTTTTTTTTTCGTCGCATTTACTCTTACACTGGATAATATAGTTTGGAATCCACTGAGGTTGCTTTGGGCAAAAGTTATTCATAAATCATTTAACTATTGATTTTTCTAGTTCTAACGGAATATCATATCGAATCAAGTGCATGATTTTTTTTCATCTGCCACGACTCCTTTTGGCTAAGTTAAGGAAACTTTTTGCATTTAATTTCAAGTCACCGCAAGTTATTTCAATTCATTTCGAAAATCAAATATTTCCCAATCAAATGAGCCTCATTAAAATTAACGACAATATTATAACCATGATTTTAACGCCCCGAAGCAAGCGGTAAAAGTGGTTTGCATTTACACAAAATCACACTTAACGACTTGTTTTAAAATCGTGCGCATTTCTGATAAGCTCGAACGCTTGGCTCTCTCACAAAAAAAAACACAATTTTTTAACCGTTTAAGAAAATTCACTTTGATTAGGTGCGAAATGAGATGGTTTAACCATTTGATAAGATAAATGATCGATGCATTTGATGGAACCGCTTTGCGATCGAAATCGATGAAGCACTTTTGATTTTATGTATGCGTACGTGATTGTGACGGAACTTTGGTAAATCAATTAACTTTGTACGACGACTTTCACAGCTCGAAGCCGAAACCACTTAATCATAGATGCCAAAAAAAAAACGAAACAAGAAAAAAAAACGGTTAATTTCGTTGTTCATAAAAGACGCCGAAAAAATGTTCGAAAACAAGAAACCAATATGCATATTTTGGTTTAAGAAAATCGATACCAGCTCTTGAACACATTAAAGGAGAGACCGAGTATACCTTTAATTTCACTTTGTTTGGATTAATCAATAAAATCATCGTTCGAATCGAATATTAACAGTTAACATTGGTTTACGATTTAATATCGCAATCGCTTCTGGCATAATATATCAATAATCTAATTTCAATATTCTCTTCAACCGATGATGGCGCTTCATACACGCTCTTTCTTTGCACTATGCCTGTGAGATTGCTTCAAAAGAGAGACAAGAGAAAAAATTGAATAAAAAGTGCATATTTCGATTTTTAAATCCGATGAAATAAGCATGATTTACTTGGATTTTATAAGCGAATACGGTGCATGAATTGAATAAACGAAGAATCGACCGACAAAAAACAGCAACAACATAAAAAATCAAATTAAAAAACGATGGATAAAAACAGAAGTGTTGTAATTGTTCGGCATAATGATGCCATTGATGGTGTTTTATGTAAAGTACGTCACTTCGTTGGCATCGTCCTTCGCCCGGAACGTAAGCGCATTGTGATGTTTTTAGCGCGTCTGTGCAGTGTGCACACAACCACAATTGTGTTCGAATTTTGGGTGGTCGAATGCGTTACGCTTTCAATTTACATTTTGTTTTTTTTTGTCTCTTCTCTCCTCACCGTCGATGTATGCATTTTTTCCCCTCTTTCATATGTTGTCGGCAGAATTGATCAAATACCTTGTCGATTGGGAATAATCGCGTCCATTGTATATATATGCTTTTGATAATGGGATCTTTTCGTTTTAACATGCGAATCTCTTCATGTGGCTTTTGTTTTGCCATTGGATTTTGAGCATCTTTAAATATTGTTCTTTTTTTTCTCTCGATTCATTGTATACAAAAGAACCTCACCCGATGTTTGTTTGGCATGAAGTACACGCAGCCACATTGTAAACATGAATGTTGAAAAGCCAGTGAACAAAGTACCGTTTAAAATGTACAGAAAAACAATATCGAATTTATGCGAAATCGAGAAACCAATTTGTTTTCAATGCTGAAGAAAAAAGGTAGAAAATTGAATCGATTTTTACTTAGCATATGATTGAGAGCGTGCGGGACGCATTGAACGTGCATCGAGTTTTTTACTTTGCAAATGATGATTAATTCATTATATGCGGTTGCATTGGATATGCGTGGAAATGTAATTTTTATAAATGCAATTATCCAAAGATGACATTCACATCGTACAATACTCCATTTCAATTTTGTGGCCCATGTAAAATTGATTGTGAAAATCAAATCTCCATAAATTAACTCCCTTTTGACAGCACATTGGTCAGAACATGTTATAATGAATATGGATCAAGCAACCCATGATCATTAACGTGTTGGCCGTTGTGTCAAAAATTGACAAAACTTTCAACCTTTTTTCTTATCCAATTAGTTCTTAAGATCAATAGAATTTATCATTTTTACGAAAAATATGAACAATTTGTGACTTTTTTATCTAGAGTCTCTCCATTAAATCGATGACAACTAATAAAATGAATTTGAACAAATTACTTCAATATTTATTATTTAAAACATCCAAAAGTTTCTAATCCCATCGATTTTACAGTGTAGCGCGTTATTCAATAAGGAATTCGTTGGCCTGATCAATTATGGTGGAAGAATGGACGCACGGAAGGACCTACATTTAGATTTCTATACCAGCTCAAAAGTCTGATATTCGTCTATTGCTTCACAATATTTTGGAAACACGATATAAATATTATCAATTTGAATAATTTTTTAACTTTTAATATTTTGCTCTCTGAATTTCAGATGATTTCCTTAGAAATTGTGAAATCAATCTTTTTGCACTTTTGATTCTTATGAAATGTCGACACATAGCAACAGTAATGGATCAATGGCAGCACTGGTTGTGACGATAGTAATAAAGACAGTTGATCGCAATTCCACAGATAACAATGAATTCAGTTTAATGCATACTTCTTCCCAGAATTTGAAGTGACAAGCGCGAATGTGGTCGTCATCTTGTTTTAAATTCATTCAAATATATTTTGATTAATTATAATTTGAACTTGCGATATGAGCATTTAGCAGTATCCAATAAATTAAAACATAGGGGTCAAAAACTAAAACTTTTATACCAACTAGATAAGTTGGCGTATGACATTTCTGACTTGACATAAAAGCAAATATATAGAAATTAAGAACAAATTGTTGGGGTATGTTCATGAATCAGACAATATTCAAATAAAAATGGACATTCCGCAAAAAAGACAGCCGCTTTTGCATTAGTGTGCTACGTTTTATCAAACGCCACCTGGGCAGCACCGCCAAATAAGGGAGCACCCGAAAAAAAGGCAGACGTGCCAAAGAAAGGAGATGATGATGAACCAAATCCTACATTAACTACGGGCTTTACCTACCTATGGGAAACATTTTTGGCGCACCTGGTACATTAATTTCGGCTGGCATTATAAAAGCGTAAGTTTTATTTTTTGTGAAAATTTGAAACTTTAATTCGTATATTTTTATTTATTGAATTATGTAGCGCTAATGCTGGTGAATTAAGGTCTAATCTCAATTTCCCGCTTGCTAACTCTTTGGGTGTAGTACAAAATTTCGCCGGAATCGGATTAAGTTTAATTAAATTAACAATGCAATCGGTTTGATGTGACCAAATTCATAGTCAATTGAATTCAAAGTCTCAAATTCATCAACTTATTACAAGGTCTTAAATTCAACTGAATCCCATGCAAAATTCCGTATGCAAACTGGTGTGTTGCCTAGCGCATTGCTGCAATAATAATTTTAAATGCTGATAATTTAAATTTACGCAATCGAGTAAAAAAATGGGTTAACAAAATGAAAAAAGGAATAAATTATTTAAATAATCTAGAAAGATGGATATAAAATGGTGGCGATTTTCAACTTTCATCTGTTTCATTTGATAAGAAGAACAATGAAGTGCCTTTTAATTTTCACATTAGTGTGCTGCCTTTTGTCAAACGCCACCTGGGCTGCACCGCCAAAGAAGGGAGCACCTGTAAAAAAGGCAGAAGCGCCAAAGAAAGGAGATGACAATGAACTAAATCCGACAATAACTACGGGTTCTACCTACCTATTGGGGAAAATGTTTGGCGCAACTGGAGCATTGGTTTCAGCCGGCGTTATTCAAGCGTAAATTAAATGTTCTATTTAAAATAAAAAATAACGAAAAAAATCGTTGTAAATTTTTGAACTAATTCATAATTGTTTATTGCTGGATTATCTAGCGCAAATGATGGACTCAAAACATATCAAAGAACACATAATATAAATCAAGCAGTATATGGTACTACGATTAAAAAAACTACAAAAAGTTGTATACTTAAAACGTTCTTTTTTTGTTATAGACGCCGGATGGCATGGTCTGACTAGGTTTGTAATTCAACTGTGAAATCATGTTCACACAACATTTTTAATTTTTATACCATTTTTTTCATCAACGAAAGTGCTAAGGATTTTATGAATACGGCTTCGAAATGGGTCGGAACAACAGCTAGTATTATTAATGATGTTCACAAAGGAAAAGATGTTAAATCATCATTTATTGAACAGTATGTATATCCTATTATATCAAGGGTATTCGTTATGAGATTTTTTTCTTTCTTTAAGGACTCAAAATACTGCTAAATACCTTAAATCTGAAATTGAAAAAGATCCGAATGGCAAGGTACGATCGATTGCGCTTTGATATTATTAATGAATAAAATTCGATTCTTCTTTTTGTAAAATATTTATCAGGTGGCCAAATCACTTATAGCTGGATCGAACGTGTTTTTAACGTATATATTATCATTCAATTAAGACATTTCAAATGTTTACAATAAAAATTCATTTTCGATGTAGCTGGACTATAGGACCGATTCCTGCTTGGGTTGCTGCGGCTGGAGCTAAAGCTGCCTCAGAGGGAGCCCAACATTACAAAGAAACGAAAGACGTATTTGGAGCACTTAAGGTTTGTTAAGTATTTAAGAAATTGTTTTACATCGTTTGTTCACAAAATAACGAACAAGAAAAATTCCATTATGAATTCAATTCCTCATACAAACAATGCATATGATTAGTAAAGTTAGTTTCTTCTTAATTTTAAATATAACTTAGGTTGCAGCTGCTTCGGGTCGTGAAAGGTTTGTATATGCAACCTCATCTTATTTAACGCCATTTGATAAAATATTTAAAAGCTTATCAAATCCAATCAACTGTCTTGATTTTTTTAGTGCCTTGTATCTCATAACTACTGTGAAAACTTTAGTCACTGGTGGCACAGGAATGGTAAAAGACATTGTGAATGGAAAAGACGCTAAAAGTGCAATTACACAACGGTATGTTATGTAACACAATTATTCACATTTGCTATTAACTATAATTCAAATAAATGTTGTATCTTATTTTCTTATATTTAGAGCTGATCAAGCTTTGAAAAATTTTCAGAAAAAATAAGATGGCAAGTTGCACGAATCAGAAAGATTGATCTTGAATGATCTTCATGATTCATGACCATCTATATTAGGGATTGAAGTATCAAAGTTTAGTTGATTTATTTTTTAATGAAAACTCAATAAATAATGAATCAAACCAAAGTCGTTTAATTTTTCTCATTAACTTGACTTGGCTTATTGACATCGTAAGAAAAATGAAAATGTTATTATCTTCGACAAAAAAAGAGTTTTTAAGTCTACTAAATGATTATGTAAAAAAAATGATTCCAACTGATGAGTAAATTTTGTCTGAGTTTTAATCGATTTCAAAGTCGCTAGAAATCCAAATTCTTAAATATAATGACAGAAATTAAGTTTGAAACGTAAATATTTATAAGTTGAAATCGATAGAAATTCTCAGTACAGATGACTCGAAATCTAGTTAAATCTAACGTGGCATTTTTAAAGTTTGTTCAACTTCAAAGAGACTTCAAAGAGCTCTAAAACAGTATATAATAAATATCAATAGAAAAGTAACTCGCAATTACTTCAAGTTTAAGCCATTCACGAATTGAAAATTTGTTTCCATATAAAACAACTCGTATAAAAAAATATTCTTCGTTACAATTATAACACAAAGAATTCGTATGTGTCACATCGAAAGTTTTTTACCTAGGGGTTGGTGAATAATTTAAAAATTCCCACGAATAGCAAAATTCAAACGTTAAATTAAGTAAACTTAGAAGTTAAATAAGAACTAATTTGAAGAGCTTATACAAGCCAATCTTATCCCCCAACTAGACTATGCGTCACAATTGACAACAGTTGTGAGCTAGGTTGTGAGTATCGCGAAATTCAAATACAAGGCTTAGCAAACATATTCGTTTAGGACAGCAACAGTATTGCGTCAAATAAATTGGAATGTATTATTAGCAAAATTATTTATGAAAAATTGGAATTTATTTAAAGGTGTATTTAGCTAAATAAAATAGAATGAATGGTGGAAACAGGCGAGAGTCTATCGATTTAAAAGAGATATAAAAGGAAGTGGATAATCAATGATCCTCAGTTGAATTTTATAGCCGGAATAATGAAGTGCTTTTCAGTTTTTGTGATCGTTTGCTGTGTTGTATCGTGTGTAACAGCACCACCACCGCCCGCTCAGGAGCCTCCACCACCCGCATTAGTCACAGGAGCAAGTTATATATTGCAAAAAAGCTGCTCACCAGGTAAAGCAAAAAAAAAGAAAAAAAATTACCAATAAAAAAAACTAAGAATGCCAATGTTCTTAAATCAATTTTCTTCTTAACAGTGAACTCCCTAGTACTACTTGGAGTCTCAAAAGCGTAAGCAGACAATTATTTTGATTTTAAAAACCAATAAATACTTTGAAACTAACCAATCTAATTAACGATTGTAATAATTTGAAATAATTTATTTACTTATTAAGAGCTTCTGAAGGTGTTACAAAATATCAAGAAACAAAAGACGTAGCCCTCGCTCTCAAGGTCGCAGCTAATTCCGGTTTTCAAGGGTATGTAACTTAATGAGAAGTGCAGTAAAACACATTACACACAAAATTATCTTCATCGAAATTTTCAATCGAAAATATATTTTACATGTTTGCAAATTGATACATGTCTTTGTTTAAAAAAAAATTCCATTACGCTTTTAATGTCAGCAACATTCGTACAATATATTTTCACAGTTCAATAATTATAATTCACACAACACATAAGCGATTTTTCATTTGACTCCATCGAATTCCAATATTTCTAATGGAAATTTCCAAAACGTTTCAAAATATTCAGGCTCAGCTAACAATTGTTCATATAATAGCAACGTATTTTAATGAGCTATTGACATTAAAACTCACGCAAAATAAGCGACAAAATACTTGTTAAATTTATAATCATTTCTTTTTATTCAGCGCTGCGGATTTTTTGACGTGCGCTTCAAATGCGTGCATTGATGTGGCTGCTGCAGGCTGTGGCATTGCCAAAGATATTTATGGTCAGTAGCTCTTACCTTTGCTCAAAATTATACTCACTCTCTCTCTCTCTCTCTCTCTCTCTCTCTCACAACACAGTTGGGAAAGATGTTAAACAAGCTGTTGTTGAACGGTATAAACGAATGTTCGAAATTACGAAAAAAATCATTTTGACTGTATTCTTTTTTTCATCTAGAACTAAACTAATAACTGAAGCAGGAGAATATCTAAAATATGAATTCACTTCAAATCCAAAGGGAAAAGTTGCCAACGCAATGGTAACCGGCGGAAATGTCGCAATGGTTTGTCATTTGTTCAATTTATTTGTAAATTGTCATATTTTTTTAAGTTAATTTTTTTAATATTTATAATCTAAAGACATGGTTTTTTGGACCATTCAGCGGATATATTACTGCCGCTCTAGCTAAAGCGTAAGAATTTCAATGATAACTTACAATGCATGAACAAATTAATTTATACAAATTTATATGTGTCATACAACTAAAGTGCTGCAGATGGCATCCAAAAATACCACGAGACAAAGGATATAGCAGCTGCAGCAAACTTAGCAGCTCAGACAGGCTTCAATAGGTTTGTTAATAATTTGCTTTGGTCAACGTCAAAAGTTTGATTTAACAATTAACTGAAACGATTTGTTCACCATACTAATTTCAATTTAATGGTCATCAGTGCCGCAAGTTTCATCTATGCTGCAGCTGGTCTCGTAACCTCTGGCTCTGAATTAGTTAAAGATCTAGCTGTAGATCATGTAGATCCAAAAGAAGCGGTTAAAAAACGGTATGAACCTTATATTCATTATTAAATAATCTCTCTGAATATAACTGTTGTTTATGTTTAGCGGACATCAAGCTTTGGAAAGTATTATTGATCCAATGGGTACTAAGAAAAAATCAACAACAGCGAGAAATCCACCACCCACACCTAGCCAAGCCGGTCCTTCAAACAGAAATATTAAACCAAAGACAAAATAGCGAATAAGATTCTCATTTAAATATGAATCTTTTCAAAAAAAAATATGTTGTCTACCTCACCATTAAAGAAGCTTTTTTCTGGTTTGAAATAAATAAATACACATGAAAACTACTCATTAATTTAATTTATTTTATTTGCCAAAATTGATTTGAATTCGTTTGGATTTTATTCTTTTGAACTTTAGTATATTAAATGTCCACATTCAGAGTTTCCCATTTGTTACCGTCCCGAATCTGAGATATTTTGATTTATTACTCTGACTAGTAAAGGACGGCCATGATTGTAGTCGTTATGTATAAAGTCAATTGTTGGAAAATTTTGAAACTCGAACAAGAAAGTCCGGGTTCATCACTCTGTCCGTACAAGTTCGTTCCGATCTTAGCAAACGGTGTCCGAAGTTCAAAGTAAAATCGAACGAATCCGGAGGAACTCGGACTGTTCGTGTCCGTTGACAACAGTATCCAAGTGCCTGTATGATATCGTACTGATGTGTCACTTTTTACAGGTTGTTTCTTTCACGAAAATTAACATTCTGAAAGTTTGAAGAAATTGCATCGCAAATAAGGAATAACCATACAAAATTTTCGTTTTTTAGTCAAAAATTAACCATTTGTGGTTTGGCAGATTGATAAATTATGTTCTGTTAGCCATCAAGCTTCTGATAGTCTAAGTCTCAATGAAATTATTAAATAGTCTCCATTAAAAAATTGCTCTAGATTGATAATGTCAGAAGTTTAATTTGACATGCACAAATTTGGTCGAGGTCTTGTAAACCGATGAATAGACAACATTTTTGTTAGTCAAATGTATGCAAATGTCTTTGTCATTAATGTAATCATATGATTTGAATTTACGCCATAAATATGGTATGTAGTCATAAAAATGTGTTTTTCATATTATTGTGAGAGTAAAAAATTGGAATTTATTTGTAGTGAGAAAACATTAAGATCAAAACAAATTGTTTATTTAAATTTATTCGTTGAAGATTGGTATAAAAGGAGAACAATATTCACATTTCTTCAGTTGAATTTTGGAATTACAGAACAATGAAGTGCTTCTTAATCTTTGCGATAGTTTTGGGTGTTGTATGCTCACAAATTTTGGCAAATTCCAAAACCGATCCGTCTCCAACACAAACTACCACAACGACCTATGTGAGAAATATTTTAAAAAAGAAGTAGATAATTCATAATAACAATTTTTTTTGGAAACCTCTATTCATCCAAAATCAAAAAACTATATTTATTCTATTAAATTAAATACCTGGGAAATAGATTCTGGGAAAAGTTTGTGGACCCATTGGTGTGTTAGCTGCTGACGTAGTTGGAAAAGCGTAATCATGTTTATTGAAATAACATATAACATTAAATTTATTAACCTTTTGTTTATCGTTATACGACAGAACGGCCGATGGTGTAAGAAAATATGAAGAAACAAATGATATAACACTTGCTGCAAAAGTAGCAGCTGAACGTGGTATTGCTAGGTTTGTGATGATTTCAATGTGTACTATCATTGGATATAAGCATTGTTTCATAAAATTCTAGTGCTTCAGGATTATTTAAATCAGCCACCAAAGCTGCTGGAATTGGAGCAGATCTTGCGAAAGAAATTCAAAATGGAGGCAATCCAAAAGCTGTACTTGCTCAACGGTATGAACATTTTGAGCGTAAAATTGAACGGATTTTAATATTTTTCTTATCTTCAGGACACAAGCAGCAGTTAACTACCTTAAGGAGGAATTTAAAAGAGATCCACATGGAAAGGTAACTATGAGAAAATAAAATGCGATTCGCCATTCAAGTGTTTCGATTCACGAGTTGGACTTTTTTTTATCGTTTTATTTTTTCGATTTAGGTAGCAAAAGGTATAGTAATCCTATTTTACCTTCTATTTTATCTATTATTTAATTCTATTCTATTTCTATTAATGCCTAGCTTTGATCACTGGGGGAAACGTGGCATTAACTTGGACCGCTGGACCTTTGGTTGGATGGTCAAGTGCCGTGTTGGCCAGCGCGTAAGAGTTTAAATGGTATTCACGGTAAAATGGTTTATTTAATTTCAAAAATATTTTTTCCATCATTAGGGCCGCCGATGGTATGTTTTGTGTATTTACTCAATTTTACTTAAGAAATAATACGTCATTTGAATGTGAAAAGGTTTGGCAAGCTTCAATGAATCTGGAAATATAAGCCAAGCCACTCAGGTTGCTGTGAAGTCAGGCTATGATAGGTGCATTTTTATCAATTGAAAATGATTCATTTAAGATAAGAAAATAACAATGTTTTCCTTTGAATAGTGCTGCAAATTTAATGAAATCGGTTTGTGGTATAGTTTCATCAGGTGCCGGTCTTGCTAAAGGTAAAATCCTCTTTTATTTGGCTTTATAAAGGACATTCATCTAGTTTTGATTTTTCTTAGATATTTATGAAGGAAAAGAAACCAAACACGCACTTAAGCAACGGTATAAAACATTTTAAACGGTTTTTTTTAGACATTTCATTGTTTTTATATATTTTTTCTACAGTGGAGGTCAAGCATTAAACAGCATTAGAAGTGGAAAGAAATAAAATTGGAAAATACTTGAATGTGTAGTATTTCAGACAAGAAATTTGTGTAAATTTTTGTCACTGATTCAAAAAAATTTGCTCAATCGAAAAATAAATGCAGATATTTAACAAAAACTACTACTGAAATTTTAAAAATCCTCAAAACGTTATCAGATGTTAATTTTCACAACTTTATTTACGGATGCCATTTAACTGCACTTCTATTTCAGTAAACCAGAAAATCGTAAAAAAAATTCTCGCTATTCCGCTGTCAATTGGCGGTCACAATTTTGTTTTCACGGAAAACTTGGAAAATTTAAGAATTCTCTCAAAAACTTCACTCTAAAAAATAGATTTGTTCCCAGAACAAAATATATACTCCGGTCAGTTATTCAACCACTGCAATAGTTGTCGATCGTGTTGAGATTTGAAAACTGTATGATCTAAGTCATGGGGCGAATAACGCTAGTGAATACTAGAAAAACTAGTAAATCTAGTGCGAAGAATGACGTCACAAACGAAGCCAACTTCACACCAAAGGCCATATAATTTATATGAAAAACTACTTAATCTTATCAAAAACTAGATGCACTAGAATTTCGTGACTGATCCCATGATCTAAGTACATTGGCAATTGGCTCTCGTGATTTTCTGAAATATTCAACTAATTTTCTTAATTTTACCACGCTTAAAGTGGTCGAACGTATCGACTCGGCATTTATGCCGGCATTAAGCAGTGATGGATTAAGAGCAGCTGGTGCTGAGATCGTTGACATTTGTGCATTTGACGATTTGTGGTCGGTGTAATTTCCACGATTTTCTTACGAAATTCAGCACAAAATGTATTGGACAACGGTGTCTGATATTTATACGCATTTGGGGCGCGTCAGTGTTTTTGTTTACGGCCATGTTCAGGTTTCGGATTTTCCAACAAATTTACTACTGCACTTTGAATCCAAATAGCGATTCACATACTCACATTTTAAAATCAAAATATTTGTTATACTGAAAAAATGTGTTCTATACACAATACACATTTACCATATATTGAAATAAACACATAAATTATTAAATGTAATCAACAATGGTTCCAACTAATTTCCTAAATATAATAAATCGATGCAACTGATTACCATTTTGACATCAAACTTGTGGCAGCTATCGTTTTTCACGCTGTTTATACATTAGAAAACTTGGAAATAATATACGTCTCTTTTGAATAAATCCAATAATTCGATGACAAAATGTTTAGCTTACATTGAAGACTACGTGTACCTTCAATTTACAAATAACATCTGGTTAAAAATTCCATAAAAGCAAACATTGACAATGGTTGTAATCGATTGCAATAAGTGCATTTTTACATGTCCTGGAACTATATCTAAATTTTTTATGTTTTGAAAAGTATTGGTCTGTGTACAGTAATAAATGTCATATAATTAGAACATATAAATGCTTGCAGTAGCTTTTTGACTATCATTGCAATTGGTCGGAAAGTTGCATTCTCTTCACAAAACGAAAACGATACCTTTAATAATTGACCATCTAATTCACTGGAATCGGTCTATGAGTTTTAAGAATCTAAATTTAAATCAAATTTTTAGTGTTGTGTTATTTCTTCGCGGAAAACAAAAATAAAATAAAGTTTCAACAGCCATCTTTTCAAGTTTAAAAGCTATGCCTTTAACAATCTTATAAATCGAAAAATTTATTTTGTAAAAATTGAGAAAAAAAATGAAAATATTACAGTCAACGCGAAAAATCCTCGAAGCATTGGGCCTACATCAGGCACAAGCTTTCGAAAAAAATTTAATGAATATTCGCTTTTGGGCTATTTTCATTGGGGTTGTGATAACAATAATATTGACATCAATGGGGTTTCTGATTGAAGCAAAAACATTTCAGGAATATTCGGAGTGTTTTTATTCATATGTATCATCCTTAGGATGTGTTGTATTTTTGTCAATAATATTCAAAAAATCATTAAAAGTTTTTAAGTTGATTGATGACTTCGAAGCCACAATTATAAAAAGTATGTATTATCAATTTTAATTGTAAGATACAAATTTATATTAGTGCGTGTTGCATTCAATCGATTAATTTCTAGGAATGGACAATCCTATATCCAAAGCAATTTATGAGGGGGCAAATGGAAAAGCTGAAAAATGGACAAAATTCATTGTTTTTGCATTTATGAAATTATCACTTTATGGCTTTTCTGTTCCATTTCTCATCATATGCTATTATCTTTATTTCGCAACTGATTCGGGAAATGATATTTTTCGCTTGCCGTTCCTTATGTGGTAAGTTTGATGAATATGTGATTTATGATTGTATAAAATAGATTCTTTTTATTTTATTTGCATTTTCATATAAATAGGTTACCGTTTAACTGGAAAGATCCGATTTTCTATTTGATCGGTTTTATTATAGTTTTTTGTTTGATCCTCTGCACTGTAATTATTTGTGCAAACGTCGTAAGCTATGCAGTGGCTTCATGCTGCATGTTGCTGGCCTTTATTAAAGATCTCAAACAAGAAGTGAATACTATGAATGCGATTTATACGGCAGAAGAGAATCGGTCAGAGCTCAAGGTTAAATTAATTGAATTCGTTGAATTTCACAACACTGTGAAAGAGTTGAGTCATAACTGCTATGATATTTTTTCAATTAAAAATGATGGGAACAAATGTTTTAACTCATTTTCAGAATGGTTCGTAATTTTACGGGAATTTATGAATTCATTTTCCTGGTCTACTTTTTATGGAGCAACCTAACTATTTGCAGTACTCTTTTAATGACTCAATTCGAATTAGTAAGGTTTCCGTTAAATCAGTACTTTTTTAGTTAAGAAGATTGTAAGATTTCAAATAGCTAAGTCAAGTATTTTCTATTTTCAAATATAGTCAAAGGATGACACGAATTTCTTCATACTCATAGTTCAAATTGGTATCATGTTTTGGTCATTCTTCATAATATTTCTATTCTGTTACTTCGGTGAGAATATTACCAGCGAATTTACAGATTTGAATGATCATATTTATCATTGCGACTGGCATTTATTTCCTCGTGACATTCAACGCATGTTGCCAATCCTTTTGATCAATACCCAACGACCAGTTATACTCAAAGGTTTTGGAAACATTTTATGCACACACGAAAATTTTAAAACGGTAATTTTATATAAAAATTTGAAGCAAAAGTTATCAGAATGTAAATTTGATATTGATTTCGATGATTTCAGGTGGCAAACAGGGGATATTCCTTCTTCATGATACTTCGCGAATATCAAAGTTAAAAAGTGTTTTTAAAAACGGAGCCAACGCGTGTAGTGGTTGGTTACTTGAATGTGACATTTCTATTTGTTAAATATTAAATCGAAACACCACTGCACGATGTTATTGAACTATACATTTTATTGAAATGAAATAATTGTTAACGTTAAATTCACTTCACCTTTACACATAATTTTAGAACTTTTTTTTAGAGATATGTTTGTCGTTTTGATAAAAAAAAATTAAACAGAGCATGAAATCGTCCTTTGCAAAGAGTGTAGTGCCTGGTAGGCACTGCTCTTAGCTAATATATATGTCAGCATGATTACGGTTGTTTGTATTAGTTTGAGCTATATACACTTATACAGAATCAAAAGTAGCTGTCAACAAGTGATTGCGATTTGATGCTTTGATTTTGCATATTAATTTATTTTTCCTTATAGTAGAATTGAAAGTCAACGAGTTTATTGTCTCCATTGCTTAAAATCCATGTTGATCCATTTTCGGCTTTTTTCAATACTTCGACTAAGCTATTGACGCATTGATCCACTCTGCAATTCATACGATAAATAACATTAAAGCATTTAAAACACAAATTAACCGTTTAATGAAATGTTTTAGCAAAAATTGTGTACATACGTTTGTATGCCATATTTCTCCATAATTTTTGGCATTTCCGTTTCGACATTTTTTCCATATAATCTTGGTTGAACTTCAGCTAATAAAGAAGTAGCAGTAAAGCCTGGGCATATTACAATGAATTTTATACCAAGTTCAGCAGACAGCTCCTTTTCAGCAAGTGATTTAGTAAAAGCAACGACTCCGTGTTTGCTAGCGCAATACGACGGAGCCCAGAAGAACTCATCCAATCCACAGATCGAAGCCATATTCACAATTGTCCCACCGCGACCACCTTTTTCAATGCTCATCTGATCGATTCCAACCAAAGTTGCATAGATTACACCAAGCTGTAACCAAAATATTAAGAAAATTATTTTAAGATTTTATTAAGACCTGTTGTATGGCGGTGGTCTAGTGAAATATCTCGGAAGAAGTCTCAAATTCATTCTCGAACAATCTTGTTTGAAATACATGTTTGAAAAAATACATACCAAATTAATTTCAATCACATCTTGTGGTTTTGATTCATCAAGAATCCCCGCAAAGTTGGCCAATACATCAACATAGCCGAACGCGTTGACAACTTGTTTGTATGCATTTTCAATTTCTACTTTATTACGTACATCTACTTTTAAAAATAGAATAGCCTTAGTTGGAAACAATGTTTTCAATTCAGTAATCACGTCACTAGCATCACAAATATCAAATATGGCCACTTTCTGTAACGAATTAAATATATCTATATATAAAGTTGTTTATAAAATATCATTAAAACTGTTTTTTTTACCTCAACACCAATGGAAAAGAGTTTCTTGATTAATTCAAGACCAATACTACCCCTTTTTGCTCCACCGACGACCAAAAAACTTTGCTTTTCAAACGACATGGTGTCACAGATGTATAGACGGTACTATTGTTTCTGATCGACTGGTGTATTTTGAACGAATATTCATAGAAGCTAATCGCATTTTTCCGGAATGTATGTATGGAAAAAAGACATTAAATCCGATAAGAATTAATACAATTTAAATGAGATAAGTGCTACACTAGATGCTACAATAAAAGTCAATAAAAAACAACAACAATACACCAAAAAGCGATACTATTGATACGATATGAATGGCTATTAGTACTTTGGTCAATTTTGTGACAACACGATTTCATCCTCAACGTCATTTAATCATACTAAAATAGAACTCTATATTTGAGGAAAAATATTTATGAAATAAATTGTTGTTGTCTTACAATTGAAATGTATCAATAGCACACTATCAATAGCGCAATATCAATAGTATCACGACATGTCGCTAGTCGTGATAATAATCCAATTATTTTCATAATTATTCATTTGAGACATGGAAGACATAATGAATTTGTGGAATCATTAAGGTGTTTATGAAACATTCAAATATCAGTTGATAATCCTACCGACGCCAAACAATTAATTAAAACCAGTCGATTTATAATGTTTGAGAACAATAAACAAAAATAGTATTGAAATCATCATCATCATAATATCAGTATTCTATTAATAATATTTGAACTTAATAACAGGCAACAATGACTAAATATCTCTTTTTGAAAATACTTTGCAAATATTTGCATGTACTATTATTATTATTTATATACTGTGTATCAGTATGTGATAGTACTTTCTATACACACTGGATGTTGTCTGTACTGCTACAAGATGGTTATTTATATATTTTTATTATTACTTAAAATAATTGTTATTTGACACTTTGACCTCTTAAGATTATGTTTACATTGACTTAAATGATATTTTTGTCAATTTGATTGAATGTTCCTTTTAATGAAAAAAGGAAAAATAAAATTTTAGACGATATTTTTTGTTATTTTACTTCTATTACTTACTCAAGTTACACAATAAAAATAATAAATCATTATACGTACATATATTCGAATCTTGTATACGTATCTTTTATTCGAATTGATAGCAAAATTTCAAATAAAATATGATTTCTCTACAATAAAAAACGCATATTAAATGGTTGCAAATCAAAGCGAAACAAGACGTTTTTACATAGATTTGTTTATGTATTCAGGGCCGGTATTCTAGAACAATCCACAAAAATCGTTCGGAATCATTTGTTTATATAAACAACTCAGCTCAGTGAAAACAATAAAAATTATTGTTATAATTATATTAACACTCACATTACTACAATCACTATAACAACCACTTCTATTGTTTTCAGTCCGATTCAGCGCCTGACTGTAGCTAATATTTTGAGTGTGTAACAATTTTTTTTATATTTTCAATGCTTGGCGACAAATGTAGAGCTCTATTAAAGTTATATTTTGGTACTTTTGGTGTACATATTTGACGCCAAACGTTGAAAAGACAAAAAAATATAAGTTTCAAATGAATAGTCCGCTCAATATATTGTCGGAATAATTCCACTGTTGAAAGAGGTGTCGGAATAATTCCGAACAAAATAAGTGGAATATTGTTTATTTGTTTTTGTCTTATGAATAACGACTATTATTCTCGTTATGTGCTACAATATTATTCAAAACAATATTCATTCATAGAAATATGTTTTTCGGAATAATTCCGAACAAATTGATCGGAAAGTGGCATTAGAATACCGGCCCTGATTCAAAAACCGATTTTTTTTGAATTTCAAAGCAAAGTTCGAAAGTATCCGTTTACATCATTTCCGCACATTCAAAAGCCATGGAAAAGGTCTCAAGTTAAAAAAAAGCGTGAGGTTCTTGTTACTATATTACTACCATTCACCAACTATAAAACATATTCCTTGAAAAAAACTACGACTTAAAAACGATGAATCTTTACTGGTTACATAGGCTCTATTTCTTTCGCTACTTCTTATTTCCACATAATCAATTGTCAGTACGACTTACTTTCAATTCAAGCTATTACGAAACAACATGTAAATACGATGGGGAAAAATGAATGCAAAAATTAGTCAACGAGTACGGAAAGAACGTATGTACTTTTTGAAACTTTTTTAGCCGTGAATTATGCCAATATGACATAGAAATGAAAAAAAATTTCTTTATCATTGTTATTACAACAGTAATTTCTACAAAATTTCCAGTTTTGTTCTATATTTTACAATTACTACTAAAAAACAATCGAAATATGGTTTTAAAATGTTTTTCAAAAATACGGAATTTATTACTTACGTAAAAACGATAGAAAATTGGATAAAATAGACTGTAATAAATAAATTTGAACGTTATACCTTAAACGTGGATATAAAAGGTAGTCGATATTCTATTTGCTTCAGTTGAATCTTATAGTGGGAACGATGAATTACTTTTTAATTTTCGCATTATTTTCCTGTGGTGTGTTAAGCACTTGGGCAACAAAGCCGGCCAGCGAAGATTCAATGAATCCAGCATTAGTAACTGTAACTACATTACTTGGAAAAGTAGTTTGCGGACCAGTATCGGCACTAGCCTGTGTCGGTGTCGGACAAGCGTAAATTAAATTCAAATTTTTTACTCATATTTGATCGATCGATTAGAGAATTTTTTTTATTTTATCATTTAGTGCCGTCGACGGTCTGAAAAAGTATCGACAAACAAAGGACATAACTCTTGCAACAACTGAAGCTGGCGAGCAAGCTTTAGCAAGGTTTTTATTTGCATTTTAAAAAAATCCTTCGGTATTTCTAAACCTTTATTCAATTTATCAGGACTTCAGAATTATTCAAATATTTTGGAACTGCGGCCAGATCCAGCGTTGATGTTGTTAAAGAAATTCAAAATAGCGGCAATGCAAAAGCAGTCCTTGCTCAACGGTAGGCCAACTGCATACAATAAAGGAATCTTCTTTTAATATTCTCTTTATTTTTAGGACCAAGGAAGTAATTAACTATTTTAAAGAAGAACTTAAGACGAATCCAAAGGGAAAGGTACTGATGAGGAATATAAATTGGAACATTTGATTTATCTTTATCTCCTTTTCATTTAGGTTGCATCAGCATTGATAACCGGTGGTAATGTCGCAATCACATGGACGGTGGGACCAATGGTAACAATTTTTTGCGAATCTTACAAATGAAGACTTATTAAAATAATATTCTCTAAATAAATGTTTTTCAAGACTGGATGGGCTGCTGCCACAGTTGCCGTTGCGTAAGTATTCCATTAGCATGTATACAATTGATTTACAACGTAATTTACTAATGTATAAACGGACAATTGCAAAATGCACATTTCTATATTTTCTCGGTGTCCGTTTAGTTTTGTTAGTCCCTCATTTGGGGTTGAATATTTAAGAATAAAATTTGTCCGTTTGACAAGATTAAGAATCAATACTGCATTAACGAGAACAATTTTTTTATTAGTACCGCTGATGGTTTACAAAAATACAAAGAAACAGAGAATGTAGCTGAAGCAACCAAATTTGCCGCTAAATCTGGTTTGACTAGGTTTGTAAATTTACTAAATATTTCATTTGTAACATTGAAGGAAATAATCTTGTATACATTGTTTTGATTAACTAGCGCCTCGAATCTCATGAAAACTATATGCGGCCTAGTGTCGAGTAGTGTTGGCCTCGCAAAAGATGTTTCAACGGGAAAGGGCGTAAAGAGTTCACTGCAACAACGGTATGAAAATTCAATCATTAAGTACATAAAATCAATCTATTTATGTATTTTCCCCCGTAATTTCAGTGGCAATCAAGCTTTACAGAGTCTTGCAAGTATGAAGAAAACTAACTAAAAGTTACGCACATACCAGAGGACGATGAATATATGCACGCTCATGTTTATTAATAAATAGCAGCACAATTTTTTTGATAAAAACTGAATAAATAACAATCAACAATATTTTTTATCACTTTTTTGTCTAAATGATGCATTATGTAGCCTGAATAATACGTGATGAATCGTTGAATTGTTGATATATATATCTACTATAGTAGATAATATCTACACATGTCTAAAATACCCTACACTTTTGAAGAAAAAAACCCATTTTATAAGGTCATATACCCAATACAAGGAACAAGCACATCAGGGTGTAAGCTCGGATAACCTCCGTTTAAATTCTCCGAGCTAGCAACACAGCATTTCTTTCAATTTGTTAGGGTGTTCAGACTATACGAAATTTACATGTTATTCTAATGTTATAGCATGTAAAATTCGTATAGTCTGAAACACAAAGATGAACGGGAGTAAGACGAACCTTTCCGCACGGTGGTAGTTGCGTATTTTATTAAGCAAGCTCAAAATAATACTTGTTCGCTTTTTCAAGCCTTTCAAGCGGCATAAAGTTCGAGGCCAAAAAATATGATCAAACCTAAGCATCGAAATAATCTTTAATTTAATAGCAGAAGTACTTGCAAAAGATTTTTCACGTTGAAGTGATTTGATTATAAACAAAAAAATGTATATTTATTAGTTACTAACAACATATTCCGATGCGTACTTTCTTGTGAAAGATATTGCGTCATTCCATATTCTCGGTACGAGTGGCAATAAAATTGTTTTCGGTAATGTGAAAAACTAAAACGCTGACGGCTCAAATATATAACGTATCTCATATCGTGGAATGCGAATCGTTAAAAATGATTTAAGTCTGAAATTAGTGAAAAAAAATTTAATGACATCAAAAACACTGAATATAATTTTAAAATCACAAAAAATTCATAAATATAAATGAAAATAATAAAAAAACTTATAAAAACTTACATTTGCGATTAAAAACAATGTTTTTGTTTTAAAAAATTTATGTAAAAAAATAAATTATTTACAATTTTAAAAATTCTGCATTATGTGTTTTATTTTTTATTTTTTTATTTTATTTTTTGAATATTATCTGCTATATTTTTATCAAATCTACGTTTACCAAAACAAGCCACGTTCATTATTTGTTTTTTTTTTTTTTTCATTTTGTTCATTGTGATTAACGATTTTATCTGCACGCAACGCAGCAAATTACCTGATAATTACCGGAGAAAAGTAAATCGTGTGCATTACGATTCTTTCACAGTGAATTCAAAGGAATCATAGTTTTTATATTTGGAATCGTAGAAATCAAAGTATTCATGATTCATGATTCCTCTCTATAAGTTAATAAATACACACAAACATCACATGTATACGCCTTAACAACAATACATGCGCAACTGTATGTTTTTCATTTTTGACTGATTTTAGATATACTAGAGCTACAGTCAAATTGCAGTCAGTTTTGTTTGCTACAGTCAAATTGATAATAAAAGTCTAGACTATATTTTAAAAGTTCATTTGTGTTCATTTCATTATACTTAATACTATATGAATGGGTAAGAATAATCATGACCTCCATACATTCTTTAAAAAAATACTGATACAAGACGATGAATTAAAATAAATGAGATACTAACTCGCGTTTAAAATAAATCTGATACTTGAAAGATATTGAAAATAAAAGTGGTATGTATCAC